TCAACCCTTCTATCAGCCTGAAGTTTTTCTTTACATTTGGATGCATTAGAGGACCATGAGCTGCAGCTTTCTTGTCCAGTATCGGTGGCTAGCTATATAAAAACATTGAATATCCCCACAAAAACACTTTTTCTGCAAAGCCTTGTCATCAGAGTTGAAGCTGCTATCACAATGAGGAGAAGGTGGCCCCTAAATTAAACCCAGAGGTCTAAACATGGGATGTCACTGTTGATGATACTACCAAGTATTATAGCTATTTTACTTGTAGCCAAGAAGCTAAATCTGACTACAAAACATCTCTCAAGAAAGCAATGGACCATTCTCTAAAAGTAACTGGACCTGAAGGAAAGTTGCATGATTTTACAAGAAATAAAATTTGTAAGTGTTTTTATCTAAAGTTGCTATTTCATTAAAATTATTTTCGGCTTTAAACAAAAGCATCAAATATGCTCTATTTATGTTTCTGAAATGGTCCGATTAAAACAGGAAATGGTGGGTTTTTATTATTGCCCTGATTGACTTTAATTCGAGATAATCACAGGCTGAGTTGAACATAAGCTCTTGTTTAACATAAAGTATAGAATGCAGCTAATAACATGGTTTCATTGTTTTAATGGCCTTGAATGTTTTTTTATTTTTTTTATTTACCAGAATTAATTGTTATGGTACTTTACATGATTACATACATGGATCTGCATGCTAGCGCCAACTCCCTCCTTTGTAATAACAAACCTACACTAAGCATATTACTGCCACCTAAAGGGCTGGAGAAAATATAATGTGTCTTACTCTAGTTAAATATAACATTACCCTCTGTGATCTTGAAATTAAGATGTTTAACATTGAGACTATGTTGCAAATGCTATTATTGTCTTGTCTATAACTGTCACCACTTTGAGGCTCTAGGTGGGCATTAAATAAGTCTGCACTGTTGTTAAACTGGCCTAACTGTGGACGGTAATTCTAATGTCCCAGCATTGTTTTGTTTATGATTCCTGATCAATGCAAACACATTTTTTTTTATCTTAGTGTGACTGATTAGTAAGATTTGGTCATGGTTTGATGTTTAAACTGAACAATTAATACATTAAAACTGGTTCTAAAATAGAGAAAGAGGATAGCATCCAGCTTTTAGGGATGGCTATGCCATTTACCCTAATAAAAATGTATGGACTATGCTATAAGTCCTCAAAAAACTTTTGTTTTTTGTAATTTGTAATTTTATAATTTTATTAAGGATCCCCCATTAGCTGTTGCCATGGCAATTGATGTAATTTAACTCTCCCAATTCAGACAAGAGAAGTGGCTAAATAATGCCAAAAGTCTGTTAGTGTCTTTAGAAAATTGCAGGTTTCTCTGCCACTTCCTTTAAGGATCCAAAACAAATTCTGTCTTATGCATACTATTTGTGTTTCCATTAAATCTATTTCATTTACATGACATTTGTTTATGTATTATTAAAAATTTCCCAAAATTCCATAAATTGGAAATGCTACTGGAAAATTCTGACCAGAACTGTAATTCCTTTTTAACACCAACTCTAACTAAAACTGAGAAGTATTATAAAGTTTAAAAGCTGGAAATATGCAGAAAATACATTACAATCAAATGCTCCTGTTGGTGCAGATAAAGCACTGAAGTCCATCACTGATATTCCTCTAGTTATTATATTTATCTGCTAGTTTAATAAGCAGATCAAACTGAAGCTGACTTGGCCTCATGTATTACAAATAAATCACAATTGCAAATCTATTGTTCAGAGATATAATAATTAATTTAAAAAAAACTGAAACCAGTGAAAGAGCCAGAATCAGTCGGGCCAATTTTAATCATGAATTAATGACTAATTATGTTTTATGTATTAGCAACACAACACTGTAAACATCAGGATGTTTTTGCTCGTTACAATGCACACTTTTAAATAAAAGGAACAAAATAATTAATAGATTAAAACATTTTTTTATTCTTTTTTTATTACACTACTCCATAATACCTCGCTTATACATCCTACCTGTGATAAATTTAAATAACTGCTACGTACTGAGAATAATCCACAAAATGTTTTAAATGTTTCAACTAGTGTGTGTTCTACATTAATTGGAATAATAATTATTACAATGGGTTATTTTTTCACAAATTCTAATATTTTGATGAGAAATAAAGGTAAAAAAAAAATCAGCATTTTCCTAAACGAGTGCATTTAGTACGCTTGTTAAAAGGATGAAAATTGTAGTTCAATCTACCGTCTGGCTTTCTCCCACAGTTAAAAAACATATCTGTGCCTTTAGGAGTGAGTGTACATGCAGGGTTATGTTGTGTAACTGATGAACAAGTGCTAGAAATTGAATGTATGGGTGTCTAGTGGGTCTTTCAGCAACTATACGCCCAAATAAACATGGAAAAGATCAATGAAACACTAAATTCAATAGAAAACCTGTGAGGTGAGCGATAGGTGGTTCCATAAATTATTGACAGAATGTTATCAACTTTTTTCCGCTAGTAATAATTTTTAGATAGTTATTTCTTCACACTGGTTTTCCCCACTTATTAAAAAAAATAGGACCTGACTTTTATTGTATGTAAACAAGGCTACTTTTATAACAGATTAATTTATTTCAAGTCATTTTTTAAACATATTTAACCAAATTAAACCAACACCATGTACCAGAACTGTGATATTACTGAACAGCTGGATTTTGCATTGATTTTCTTTAAAATCTAGAGTATTCAGCATTTAATCTTAAGTCTGTAAGATGCATGTAAAGCTGTAGAGCAGCTGCAGACAGCGAGACACTGTTCCTTATGTGCCGGCTGCTCAGAGACAACAAAGGACACTCCGTCCATTTCCTTTTTTTAGCTCAATCGATAAGTGGATAGAGCTGCTGAACTCGAGGCATGAAGGGTGTTAAGAACAGATTTATGGAGTCACATGGAGGAAGTCTGCAGCCGAGAGAGGGGCTGATCTTCAAATCCCTGAGAAAGTGTCTCTGTGTATATGTGTCACTGAGAGTAAATATGCATTGCTGCAGGGGGTGGGGCCAGTTAGTGCCTGGAGGAGCAGGCATGCTTGGACAGAACAACCAGAGATTAAAATGAACTCTTCAGAGTGATGAAACATGGAGGGACAAGCATGCACTGCAGGTTTGGGGATGATGCATGTAGAATGACATAAACTGCATTACATTTGTAATCAAATCTGTTTTAAAGTTTTTTGTTTATCAATTGTTGAGGATTTGAAAATCAAAAGATGAACCAGAACACACATAAGTGACAATTAATGATAGGATTTTCAGGCACCTTATTCATTTTTGTCACACATACACAGTTTGTTTAAATTCACAAGATGGTTTAGGTTTTATTTATGGGGTAGAAAAAGACAAAACTTCCAACCTATCAAGAGCATCTAACAGACTAGCAGGATAAGGAGAGACAATAATTACTCAGGAGCAGCTGTGGAGACTCAACACTCAGCTGGGAGGACCTACAGGATAAAAGTTTTAGCATTGCCTCAACAAATTTTTGCCTTTTTAAAAACTACTGTTGAAGCAAAACCAGAAGCATTTCAGCAACTTCAAAGGGACTCAGCAAACCCATGAAAGGGACTAAAATTAAAGCTTTTGCCTGATATTATATGTTGGAGCATTAACTCTATACACCATCAATATGCATTGCTCCCACTGTAAAACATAGTGGTGGTAGAATCATGCTGTGGGATGGGTAAGAAGTGTAGCAGAACGATGAAAGATAAATTGGTCATTTTGAAATAGAAAACCCCATTAGGAGCTGCAGATGACTAGAGACTGAGGATGAGTTCATTCTTCAGGCAGTCGGCCCTAACTACCACCTGAGCTAGTGTGGATGGTTTACATCAAAGCAGATTCATGCGTCATGCATTTAAATGACCAAGTCTTGGTCCAGATCTTAGGTTTTTTTTTTTTTTTTAGAATCTGTGAGAAGGCTTAAAAATGTAAAGTTTACAGAGTCTAGAGACAAACAGATACTAAGAATGCTCAGTTTTTAGATGCAAAAAAGTCGCCAAGGAAGACTTGAAGGAACTCCCACACAAAATGCTGTTAACAGTTTACTCATTTTTCTTTATAATACTATACAACTTTACTAAATTTGTGTTTTTAAAATGCAAAAATGATAAACGGTTTGAGGGGGTGTGTTTACTTTAGTAACTCACAGTTTTGATTTCACAAGTCTCTGTGAAGAGACTTCTTAAACATAACGGTATTTCTTAGGAATTGCTCAAACAGAGGGGCTGCAGAGCATGGAGGGAGTAAGAAAAAACAAAATCACTTAAAAAATCACTAGAGAATGATGCACTTTGGAATTAAGAAGCTGACCAATAAATGGAAGGGGTCTATTGGCTTCTGTGCACAATAAAATCTATTTCATTGACAAACTTTAAAACAAAAACAGTATTCATAAAAGAGAAACTGTCTAAAAAATATTACCAGTTAAAAAAACCCCATAAAAGTTCCAGACTGTTTTCCAAAAGAGAGATTAAGGAAAAGCCTGAGTAATCCTGATGATGGATGACATGTCCACTATTGTACAGGAAAAGATCAGTTGCAGTCAAGAAGACAATTTTTTCCCCCTTCTTGGGGAATAAGAGAAACAAAGATGCCAAACGTCTCCATCAGCAGTAAGTGTTTGATCGTTGAAGCACAAGATCCAAAAAGACTGAAAGGAAAATGACAGGCCGAGTAAGAGCAAACTCCTCCAGAGCAAACCATCTGTCCACGTTGGAAGGTAGAATTCTACATTTACAACAAGGAAGATGAGGAAGAAAGAAGAGGGAGGTGGAGGGTTTATGGAGCGTGTTCAGCTGCTGCATCCATAACAGCAGGCTGCCAGGATCTGCATTAGTGGAATAAGGCCACTCAGGGTCACATACAGCTCCTCTGGTGACTGCATATCTGCACTCAAACTACCTCTAATCTCCTCACTCTTAAAAGCCTTGTTTAAGAATATAGACTTCGACAACTTTTATTGTCATTTTGTATACATAGAGCATATGCAAAACGAAATTTTGTTTTGTACAGCTTTCAGAACATTTCCATTCCATAAAATGCAGCAGTGATCAATGTAAACAGTGTAGGAGATAAATAAATAGATCATAAAATGCATCCAAATATTTAATTTGATTAGAAAAATACAGTATGTTTCTGCATATTAAAGGGTTATGATGTTTTGTACGGCAGAGCCTCTTTTGGGAAATGCACCGCCCTGAAAAAGTTTCCCCCTTTCTTTTTATATGAGTCAAAGCTAAACTATGCAAACACAATTAAAATGATCTAATTTATTAAGGGAAAATACAATAAAAATAGGTGATCCTATATAGTAAAGTAATTATTTTTATTAAATGTATTTTAATTAAACCATATTTAGGATTTGTGTGGGATCTGATTGGAGTCCAGACTTTAACTTGTTCAACTGAAAACTTTCAATTATTATTTATTTATTTGTTGTAACCATTTAGAGATGGAATTGATAGAAAAGATTTAATATTGTCTTGCTTAAAATCATAAACTGATAACAGTCTGATGAAATTCTACTTTTTAGCTTAGTTTTTAATGTGTTCAGAGCAGGAAATATGATTAAAATGTCATCCTCTTACCTGTCTGGGCTCCTTTGAGTTGCAGGGCTCCATCCTGACCTTTGACCCCGCTGTGAAGGCAGAAATGGCCAGGCATAAGTCCTGCTGCCGGATCAGTGGCTCCGCCAGCTCCCATTTCTGCAAAGCCAGAAAGCAGTGGAAAATGTGGACGCTGTCCGCTTCAGTTTTTGGGGAAATATTACCGTACTTCTGAACTTAGGTATTCAAACCAAAAAGCAAATAAAAGTTGCAAATCAATCTATGTTCTAAATTATAATACTAATTTTAAAATATGTATTTTCTAATGAAACTGAATGAAACTGTAATTGTACTTCAGTGGTACAATTCAAATGAGATTAAGATTCTTACACAGAGCAAAATAAAAGACCCAACAACCAAACTGGATTTTGTATGGAGAATCAGGAAAAACAAAACAAAAAACACCCTAAAAATATAAGTCTGTAAACAATCCTCACTCAGGAAGAACCAAAAACCTTTGATTAATATAATTTTCTTTGATCCCACTTGATCTATGTGTATGTGTTCATTTTAAAATCTTCCAAACTGAGGAGACAGTATTTGTCAAACATGAGACTGTGTTATTTACGGTCCTCTGACCTGTGACTGCGGCCTGTTGGTTCCGGCTCCCCTGCACTCTGCCAGTCCCAGGCCTTCCCTCCCACGGGTCTCCAGACACAAACCGCCTTGTTTCAGCACACTGGACACGGCTTCCTGCTCAGGAACCCTGAGGAAATCAAAGGAGAGGAAGGAGGTGGATGAAACGATCTTATTACAAACAATAAAAGAGCAGATTGACTGCAGTGATGGGTAGCTGTAACGGGTAATTGCATCTCTCCACAAGTACTTTGTCTTATTACAGCAGGCTCGTCTAGACATACTGTATATACGCACATCAGTTGTTTAGAGCACATAGTCCAGAAACACTTCAGTTTAAAGTCTTGATAGAATGACATTTGAAATCAGTTAAGTTTAGAAGAAATGTATTTAATTATGGAGGAAATTCCTCTTCTTAGGTTTAAATATTTATGCATATTTCAAAGCAGTATATGTTTTTAATTAACTGCAAAATGATGGAAGCCTATCTTTAAATAAGAGTAAATTGAGGTTTAGTGTTATAATGTGACAAAAACTTTATAAAACTGTAAATATTGATCCTAAACCACAAAATTGGATGTGTTGAGATGACATTCACTGTGCTCAATGTACATGTATGAGAGTTCTTTTTTAATCAGATGCTATATAGATTTGTTTCAAAGTCACATTTAATCATAACCTATAATCCTAGTGAAAAACTTCATTTCACATCATTTCCTCCATCTCTTTTCTCTCAGTTGTGGTCCAAGTCAGTCCACAGCCTGCAAGCTTCCAAAAACCTACCATTTTTATTTCCAATGCAGATTTTTCTTTTTCACAGCTCTCAGAATCTTAAAAAAAAAGAATGTACCTCGTACTTAGTACGCCTATTTCTTTTATCTCAACTGATTTTTCCCCCAAACAAAATCGAGTGCAGCCAACAGAAAAGCCTCTTTTTGCTAAATCCGCCCACCTCAGCTCCGGATAGACGTTCTCCATGTACCAACGGAAAGGTTTGCAATTCAGTTTCCGCCGCAGTGTCAGGCGATCTGCAATGCTGCAAGAAGAGAAAATAAGCAAAACCGAAAGAGCAGACCCAAAGAAAAAAGAAAAACATGGGCAATTGTGGAGAAGACAGACAGTTTGAGAGACAAAAAAACGAAAAGTATCAGAAAACAGAAAGTGTTCTGTGTTAATATAAGTTGCTGGTTTTGCTTCTAACATTATCAAACAGTTAAATGAACATATCTGTTACAATCATTAATAATATGCAGAAATAGCTCATAACAGAAGTAACTGGTGAATTTACCCAGAATAACTGTATATATATCGATAAATACTTCATAATTGCTCATTATAAAATAGATTTATAGCAGTGTGAAACATTCCTAGTCCTATTTTTGGGCTACTGTCTCCATGCTGTATCATGTAAACATTGAGAAGGTATAATTCTAAGAGACAAACCTGCCAAAAGCCTTGCCCTGAGCAGACGGCCTTGCGGAGTAGTAGTACTGTTTATATTCATCCATCCACACCTCCGCAGCCCGTCGGGTGTTCCTGCATAGACACAGACAGGACACCTGCTTATGTGCTGTGATTACAGTGCTGCTGGGGTTCCTGCAGTCAGCTCTAATAACCATGTTGCACAGAAAAGCCTCCAGATATTAAAAACTGCTTTGGAGAAAAAGCAATGCTTTAAGGCTTTGGATTTTGGGCAATTTTAGCAACTTGATCTTTACTGAAAAAAGAAAAAAAGATTTCAAATTAAAAGTAGCAATACACAGATCCACATTTTTGGGGTGATTTCAGATTTTAAGAGGTCATAAATATATATTTTATATTCAAATAATTTGCATATATATTGTTTTTTTTTTTTACTGCTTTTTAAATATGCAAAACAAGGGAACTCTCTTAATTATACCAAAACTCCTGTCTTCTGTGTACTTCTATGGAGTATAGGTGTTTAAAGTCTACCTTCCTACTTTTTAAATATTACTCTATTCTCTTTCCCCTTGTTTATTTCTCAACTGACCATCCGAGAATGGTCACTTGAACATTTCAATGCTCTTTAATGTTCCCAACTGGTCAAATAGTTTAAATAACAGTAGATCAATTAATCAGAGTGTAGGTAGAGCAGCCATTAGAACAGGCCACCAAAAGCCTTATGCATGCAGAGGTGATTCTTCATCAGCGCAGACAAAGCAGTTGCATAATGTAGCATGAAACTTTTATAAAGCTAATTAATGTTAAGCCCCTCTGAGTAGAGAAAAAGCGAATCATCTTTGTAGATCTAACACATTTTTTTCCCCAGTTTTGTCTAAATTTTACTGACAAATATACAGTGAAAAACTTTTATTGGCAAAGTCTCCTTGCCAATAAAAAACTGTATTCCACTTTAACATACTTTGAAATTTCTTTCTCTTCTATTTTCTGTCTCGAGTGAATTATTTTTCATAATGTGAGCTTCCTAATTTTTACTGTTTTAAGGGTGCGGCATTTGGTATGAGCACTAAGAGGTTTCTGTCACACTTCATCACATTTAAAAAATAAATAAATAAAAGTTTAATTTAATCTCCTTTTTGTTACGGCCTGTTGGTATTTGCAAACAATAAAAACCATCAAAATAGTTTGTTACATCCAGACAATTTCTTTGTGGTTGGACTCTGTACTGCACCAACTGGTTGTTTGCCAGATACCAAAATAAATAGTTTTTCAAGATGATGGAAAGTTAAATTTGACAGTCCTACCATTAGTTATAAAACTAAGAGAATTAAGTATAAGCATGTTATCATGGTTCTTTAATAGGGTAGAGCAGTAACCAGTATGATGGTTTAAAGTATCTGTCCTTAACATTTTTTCCTGTATTACTTTTAGTTTTATACTTTAAGTAGTTTTAAAAATTGCACTTTTACACTTTTAATTGAGTAAAAAGATTAAGTTGATACTAAACTTCTACAAGTGTTTTTAAAAGGTAAAAATTATACTTCCACAAGAGTGATATACGTTAATACTTGTGATAACTCTGTTTGAGCCTCCCTGTTAGCTTCTTTTTGGTTATTTTTTTTAAGCTCACATTGGAGCCCACATTTTAAACTGTTTTTTTTTTTTTTGTAGAAGCTCAGTAAAAGGATGACGACCAAAGCATGTTGCTATTACTGTAGCTCGACTTGTTAGCATCAAATAAAGCTGCTTTTACTGAAAAGGGTTGGTCAAGATGGAAATTCTGTGATTCTGGTAAACAGCGGATTTCTCTGGCAGACCTACTGTAGGTCTAGATTATAAAAACAAAACTAAATCAGCAGTCAAACTTAAAAAAAAACACCAAATGACACAAAAATCTATTATTTAAGGGGTAAAGGGTTTTTAAGAGATCAAAACATTCTCATTTTACTTTACCACAACTTAATCATTTATAGACCAATCAATTGATCAAATTTTAAATCATTTTTCATTCCTCCAACAGTTTAAAGATTTATTGTTTCCTCTTCGCTTTTCAATCCTAGTAAACTTATAGAACAAAAACATTCAAACTGAGGAATAAACAATTTAGCTGCTTTGGGTTTTTATAGCTCCTCTTTCATTAAACCTCTGGTAAAGTGTGTCAGAAGTTAAAATGTATGAGACGACACCAGGCTCTTTCTCTGACATGCAGTATTTATATAAATATTAAGCCTGTTAGCAGATCCCACACTCACTTGATGTAGGTAAGAGCGTTGCCCTCTGGGAAGTCGTAAGGGTGACGTTTCCTGAACACGTGACCAACGCGGCTGCAGGGAAGGATCTCTAGACTTCCTCCGCACATCCACACTCGGAACGAGAGCTCTATGAAACGACAGGATGAAGCTGAAGACTGTTTCGCAACTGATCCGGTTTATCTATTTATCTAACTGAACAACTATGCCTAATGGGTTCATCTGACTGAATTTCCGAGCCACATTTTATGGACGCCAGATGCAAAAACCTTACAATTTATATTTTTTTCCTTTTCCAAATTCAAATGAACCTTTAGAAATTTAAGCAAATAATTTAAATCGTTGCAGCAAATATATAAGTAGCCATTAAATGAAGAATAAAAGGCGTATATAGATTTTTTAAAATAATTGTAGCATTATAACACTTCTAATTTATGCACATGGTATAGTAGCGTTAAAATCCCATCAGAAATCTGACATTTCTGCTGACTTTACACTGAGTTTTTCCTGAAAACTTTCAGCCTATTCCTTCCCCAAAAAGGTTTTGACTTTTACCTCGGGATATAAACAGTTCATTTCACTTTAAGTTATTTTGTATAGGTAATGATGTTTTCTGCTTGATAAAGTGTAACAAACCATTCATTCCTTTAACATTTCAGTCCATGTTGGTAACTACAGGCTAAACATCTGCCTCCCTGGTAGACTCAGTATCTTTGTTTTGGAATATTCTCCTCTAAAAGATAAAAAAACAAACTGTTCTTCATCTAAAATGCCTGAGAAGAGTCTGATAAAAGAAAACGACGGGCAGAACAAAGGACGCAGAACAAGGAGCAAACTAAGGATCAAGTTTGTAAAATTTACAATACTTTTTTGTTTTTGGTCAACACCTAATCTAGCATTCAACACTAAAAACAGATCATCTATCAAGACTATGTTGGTTCTGTAATTCAAAAGATCCACCAAACATCCAACAGCAACAGAAGACGAAATTTGGGGTTTTGGAAAATTTTCAAGCTATAAAATGAACCTTTAGCACCAGCAGAATATAATAAAAACACATGGCACATGACATCATGATCATCAATGTATACAATAAGAAACTTTTTTATTAATGTAATAAGCAGATTATTGTAGTAATTTAGCAAAAGCTAAAATAAACTTTTGTTTTAACTTTATTTGCTCTGCAGTGTTCAACATTCAACATAAATAGGGATGGCTGACATTAATATTGGGCTGCAGAAGGCTTTGAAAACATCAGATCACTCACCAAAGTTCTCACCGCCCCAGATATCCATGTGGGTGTCATACTGGCCCAGATGGTTGAACCAGCTCTTGTCCATGACGAAGATCCCTCCCGCAATGACAGGAGTCCTACAGAAAAGAGAGACGTTTTCACTTCCAGTAACTTTAATTAGGGGTTTTAGAAATTTACTTTTAATGAAATTTTCAACATTTTTAAATGCTAAAACCACAATTTTAAAGTTTTTCAATTAGTTTTGTTTAATGAGGTAGAACAAGACAAAGTACTGCATGGAGAAGAATAGTATCTATATATATATATATATATATATATATATATAAAATCCTTAGTATGTTTTTGGTTTTACAAATGCGGGTATAATACAGTGTGGTGTGCGTTTGTCCTCAGTTTTCCTTGATGACTAGTTCTTAAAACCGTATTGCTCTAATGACAGCTAGAGTTAGATGGATACACCGGCCAGCCGATAACTTGGTCTAACATTAGCAGTAGCCTATCCTTCTTTGTGTTCACCGATTCGTGATTGCATTCAGCAGCCATGCCTTGTGATCATGTGAAGCACATGAATTGCCACTCCCTCTACTTGCTATCCAATATTTCGTTTGATTTGATAATATTTCTTTTTTGTCTAAATTGAAACTTGTGTAACATTTCTTGTCACTGTCGAGGAAAACAGTGATTTTGAAAAATCGGCCCCCAGAAATCGTCAGTAGTTTTTGAGGATCAAAGACTGCTGTAAGAATAATTGTATCTGCATCCGCCTTAAAAAAAAAGTGTATTGTTTAATCTCCAATTACAACTCCAGGTAGGATAGAGATCAGATTGGAGAAGCAATTTTCAGTGGTACAATGGGTTGTCATAGAAATATGGGTCTGCCTTTGACTAGGCCAATCTGACGCATTTCATCACAACTCTGGCTGCATGCTTCAGCGATGAGGCTCTGCTGGAATTTGACCCTCTGGCTCACTCTTACTCATTTGAAACCTCTACCTGCTTTTCTTATGTAACTGACCTGTTTAGCTCTATCCATAGCTTTGCACCAACTAACCTTTTCATTTTGTGCAGGAAAATTCTCAATGCAGCATGATGCTACCATTACCATGTAGCACAGTGTGGGTTAGTGTTTCAAGCATCTTTTTTATATTCTTAAGGCTTCCTTTTAATAGTATCCTCTTGCCAATCATCCAGAGGGGCCAAGAGCTACAAGTCTCTGCAGCTCCTCCAGAGGCTGCATACCTGTTGAATGTTCTTTTATGGTTTTCAGTTTAGGTGGAAAGTCACATCCTAGTGGATTGTGCCATAATCTTTTAATTCCATAAAAATTATAAAAGAATATTGTATTATAAACTAACTGCTTCTAACATCTTCACAAAGTCTGCCAGACAATCCTGCTGCCTCCGTTGCTCTTCATGATGCTGTTTATTAACTATGAGAATAAAAAAACACTAGCTTTCACAGAACGGCTTACCGAGATCATATTACACACAACTCGACTAATTTAGTCACAAAGCAGCTTAGGGATTTCTGGGTAAAGGGGCAATACTTTGCATTGGGCAATCATATTAAAAAAAATAAAATACATTGAAGTTATTTTCTTGGTGTTGTATAAATTATGGGAAAGTTCATATTCTGGGGAGATTCTGTAGCTGACATGATTCTTTCATAAAGACATAGCATTGCTTAAGGTTAATTTATTAAATCAATTTTAAGGTTTTATTTTTGAGATTGTGACATAAAAAAAAACCTCTGTTCCTTACCTAATGTTAGATAATACAGTATGTTACACTGTGCCTCTGGTTCTCCATCTACATCATTTACAAATAAAACGGTTTTCCAATGAAAAACAATAAATGACCTCCAATGCAGAAGCAGTATAAAACAGTCAGTTGGAGCATTACTAGCTGCGTCTGTGCCTAAAAGTAATCGCCTTCTCTTGGACCGTACCACTTTCTGCATCATTGTGGAGGTATTTTGACCCCCACCTATATACAATACTGCTCCTGTTCTCTAAGATTTGATGGCATTTGCTGATCCTCTGTTTGAAAATCATTTTAAGACAGGTTGGAATTGGGATTTGAAGCTATTAGACATTTATTGGCCTTTAGTCAGCCATTTCAATGCAAGCTGCCCAAGTCCTGCTGCAGAAAAGACGCCCGATCATCAGCTTGGTTTGGGAAATTCAATGAGGTGCTGCTGCCAAAAAGCTTTTAAACAAACAGAGGTCTGCCAAAAACGCCCTACTTAGTCAGTCTTTTTCTGATTAAATTACCTTGTTAAATAACCCTCATGCACACTCAGATGTCTAAGTTTTGGGGCTTTTTTGTATTTTGTTGCATGACCTCATACTGACTTGGATAGACTTCACTGGCAGCCTACTAGCATAGTTTTTTTCACTTTATAATATTCTTTCTCTCTGTGAATTGACTGACTTTAAATGGTTGAGCAAGCTTTCCTAAACTGATGCAGAGAGACGGTTTCTTCTCAAAGATAATGGCAGAATGAATAGTCCAGAGCAGCAATCTGCTACATGCTAGACAGTTTACAAGAGGCCTTCATTGCACTTATGAACCTCCTGGAAAAAGTAAGAGATGTTAATACCATGGACAAAATTGTGCAAGTTGTGCATTTAAGTCTAATGACTTAAGTTGTTTATCTGAGATTGATCGGCATAAGTTAATTTAAAGGAATGAAATTTGTCAAACTCAATTTGAAAAAGAGAGAGATAAAAAAAAAATGAATTACAAACTTTGTAAAGAATTGAAAAAAAGAAATGTGGAAAAAAAAGAAAAAGAAAAAACTATAGCAATAAAAAAAAGTTACTTTCATATAATAATTAATTCTGAAAGTTAAATTTCTAGATTAGAATTTTTCAAGTCCCCCTTTTACGAAACAAGTTCTTCTTATTTCAAATTAAACTCTAAATAATATTTTTTGCTTATAAAAATAATAGAACAAAAATTACTCCGTATAGATTTGATAAGCTTTTTGTGACTGAACCTTCTGTCTGAAAAATATGAGTAGCTGAGTATCTTTTATCAAACCACAAAATTATCCAAACATCATTTAAAAGCAAAGTACTAAACATATTCTCTGTAGCTGGATAATAATAATAATATTAACTTTGTTGTTGTTTTAACATGGGAAGATAAACTAATCCATAGAAGCTCCAGTTCTGGGTCTGTAAGAAATTAAATACTAATTCATCTCAGTGAAACATTAAACTTTCAAGTGATGATTCTTACCTGATTTATTTTTCTATTTATTCACAATAAGATTAAAAAAGTGAGCAAACTTGTTAAGATAATTAAAAACCTTGATGTTTAAGGGCTAGAAGTAAGTATTACTAAGGGCAGTGTTAAGGTACCTTATGGGTTGTGTGGGATCGCTTCTCGCCATTTTCTGCTCGATGGGAATCTGCTCCCATTTGAAGTGGAGACTCCAGTCGAATCCTGACATGAAAACAACATTATGAGGAAAGCAAGAAGCAACTAAAAACAAACTAGATTAAAAACAGGTACTGTAGTTTTGCTAATATTGTCTATAATTTCATCTCGTTGGGTCCAGGTAGACAAATACAAGCTAAAGCAAAGTTGATTAACATGATAAATCGTGGTTTATATCCTCATCTGTAATAATTTTCAGTAAACCAAACAGTTTATAAACTCATTTATTCAGTGGAAACTACACATATATCTAATTCATCTATTTCAGTGTATTCATTGAGATTTTTGACTGTTCATCTATTTGTAAGGTTAAACACTGATGTTGGACGTATCGGCTTCTGTTACAGTCTAATTTAGGCCAAAGGTGCTCATGTCAGATTGAGGTCAACACTCTGCAGAGGATTCACATACCTCCACACTTTTTTTCTAGCTTTATGTGATGCTGCTGCACTTAAAGGGGCCATTTTCAGGCTGGTTTAGCAGACTCATAAAATGTGACCCTGCCTATGAAAACCCAGCTAAAGTCATTTTTTGGTGAATCTCAACTTAATGTATAAAACCATTCTTAACATTGTGTAGAATGGTTTTATACATTAAGTTGAGATTCACCAAAAAATGACTTTAGCTGGGTTTTCATAGGCAGGGTCACAAATATTAAATCACCAATGTGCAATAATCTCTGAGATGTTCCAGTTTTCAGCTTGTAGACCATTGTTTTTTTTATATGGTCCACTGTTACAGACATAATGATAAAAATTTGATATTCTAATGAGTGCATATCGACAGCTTTTAAACATATTGTCTTTTAAAAACATACAAGTAAACATTGATAAGCAGCATTAATCCTGCATACATATGAAAGAAATGCTACAAATGGTTAAAGTAGGAAGGTTTAACCACTATTGATGCGATTAGCATCCATCGTGAATGCGAAAGTGGAATACCATCCTTTTGCACAGACTTTCTGACTTTTTGGTTTGGTTAAGTTTAAATTTATGACGTGGAAGTTGGAATTTTCTCTTTCTGAGGAATACTGGAACACACCATATACCCAGTCTCTGGAAGACAAACACTGACCACAATCCCATTGAGCAGTGAGTGGGTGAATTACCAAATGCACTGCTTTAAATCAATACAAGGAAGATCTCTACAGACTAATACTGAGATACAGACTAATACAGACTAATACTGAGTTTATCTGTAGACTTCATGAACTTTGGTGGAATGGAAGCTGAGGTGACTTCCGTATACAGAGTATTTTGGGTACATTTTGTAACAATTGCCAAAGCTAAACTGTAGCTTCAGAAAATATTTTTAGCAAGGAAAATTTAATGAAAGGACTTGTTGCATAAGTGGTCTTCTCCTGGTCCTGTTCTTTAATTGCCATGCTTTAACCACTGTTTTTGAAAGCAGTGCGAATGTGTTGCTACTGCAGCTTAAATATCTGGGCTCATGGAAAACAATGGAAAATCTGCTCAGCATGATTTGAAGAGGCCATCCGATTGTTTTGGCACTATAGCATAAAGGGTTGTGTTTGAGTTGTGTCTGTTTTTTCATGATGGGTTCTGACCTCCTCTTAAGTCAGCAGACGCAGCCAAGTAAGCAAAGTTATCCAGGCTGATCACATCAATAATGGGGCTGACCACTCGTGTATGGTCCTGGAAGGAACGATAGAAAGAGATGACAAAGATAAACCTTGAGAAATTAACACATATCAAATCGGACAACAAACATAAAGGACATTCTCTTCAATTTATGCCTCAATATTATGTACCAGAATGAATGCAGGCCTGAATTAGTTCAAGGTTTTTATCAGTTCCACAGAGATTTGCTGTCAAACCCGATAGGAAAAAAAAAAGCATGACACATCTGCAAAATGTTAGACTACCTACTGCTGTAAAGGTAAAATGATCCTAATAATAAATACAGCTAATTAGAAAACCTATAGTTTATGTTTCTGGGCGTAACTGATGTGAAAACAAGACGTATACAACTCTATATATGGTGGTGCTAGCTTGTATGAATACATGCACAATTACACCGCAGTAATAAAAAACACGTTAGGATTGCATCAGTCTTTATAAACACACATTATCATTACAAAAGGCTGTTTAAAGCTCTCCTCTTTTTCATCAAATGATACGTCATAGTGTCCTTATCAGTTTGCTCCTTCAAGCTAAAATGAAAATACATTTAGACTGAATTATAAAACAACTCCCAAGTGAGTCTGGAAAAAATGGCAGAGCTGAAGATGGATGGAGGATATGTTGGATAAAATTAAATTACGATGCTGCATAATTAAATAAGGATTGTTATTAATCTTCCCAAACAGATGGTTTGAGGCATCAAATTAATCAGAAGGAACAAATGAAAACTTATTTGTCTGCAAATTTAATTTTAAGCTTTGAAATGATTCTTCACTGCATTAAATCAAAATAAAACTATGAAGAGAGACTGCAACAATCGCATAACTCGAGGTGGGTTATTATTAATGTTTGACATTTAATTAAATTAAACTTGTTTAAGTGGTTGTGGTGAATTAATAATTAATAGTGGTCACTGGGTGGAAATGAACAATGGGTCTCAGATTCTGCTTTCAGCCAAAAGCTTTAATCTCAGGGAAAATAAACGACTTCAGAGCCAGATGGAGCAAAGATGAGGATGAGGTGAATTATCACTGAGCTCTCATGAATGCCGGACTGAAAGGGCTGCAATGAAGGATGAATGAGTCACAGCAGCCCAAAGCCAAATATGAGTTTACCAAAAGCAAACAACGTAAACACAGCATCATGTTTCCTTCAACTTAACACAATGGAAGCATTGGTTTGTATGCTTCTGATTACAGCAAAGAAAGTTTGCAGAAAGTGTTTCTTTTCTGATCATGTGTGGGATCAGTACTTATCTACCTATTTTAACCAATAAACAGCTGAAAAGTCGACATTTTTCGTTGTATTTGTGGTTAAAGAGAAATTGTTTTTTTATCGCCTTATCATTTCTAAAAAGTTCATGGCTGCCATATCTAGAAAAGGATGTAATGACTCATACAGGAAAGAAAATAACTGAAAGGAAGATGAAAAGAGCGAGTCGCTTCGCAGGTTAATAATGCCAGTGGACATATGAGAAAAAAACAGTATCCTACTCATAAGTGAGTGATGATGGTCTCACTCAGTGGATCGATCTCTCTCCATCATAATGCCAGAACCCCTTGTCTCAGATTTAGAAGAGGAAGTAATTTAACTTTAACTGGCAGCTTCATGCACCTCAGCGACGGGGATGGCTCACAGCCAAAACAGCCTTAAAGGGTCACATTGAGATTCCAATGAAATTAAAAAGATCGATTGCGTGTCATAATGAAATGTGTCTTGTTTAGTATTTCGCTGTATAATATGAGCATTGGCATTAGATGTGATAGTAGCGTCCCCGGTGGGCTGCATAACTTCATTTTCAGGATGCACTGAATTGGAAGAATCTGTCGGCTGCATTAACAAAGGCTGTTTTTGATCATAAAAAGATCCAGCATACAGCCAGGAGCAAGAATAAGCACTGACTGTGTTTTGTATCTGCTTTGCTTTTCTTCTAGCACAGGGTATCCTCCAGCTCTTTGCTTCAAGATTCTAAACTTTACCAACTTCTTTTTCTAATAAGTTAAATTACTTAACTTATATAAACTAAAAAAGGGTAATTAGGGAGTCTAAAATATCTGTCAATTTAATACAGTCTCTAAATATGTAGCATTGGGTATTTAAAATTTAAAGATTGCCGATCGAGAGCAAGTGAATCTGTGTCCTCGTACCTCCTTGACTCTCTGGATCATCGGCTGCAGCCAGTCGGCGTTGACCTCACAGTGGCTGTCCAGGAAGGTCAGAACAGTGGCAGAGGCCGTGTTGGCTCCTCTCACTCGAGATCGGATCAATCCTGCAAATGACACATAATGCATGACACCTCAAGTTTAAAAAGCCTAAGTCTAAGTGTACTAATAATCAAACTGCAGCCTGACTGCAAGCTTCAATAAGATTTATGAATCCATCATTGCTGTACACAGCGATTATACGTAGTTCATTTCTTCCACTGTCTATTGCCACTTAAAGGGTCACAGAGGGGTATGTCACCAATCCATAGGTTAACATAAAGACAAAAAGGTCAAATAAGATTGTTTTCACACACCAAATATAGAAAGCCATGAACCATTAACCTCAAGTTTTTACAGGGAGGAAACCGAGTAACCAGAGATAATCCCCACATAAATAGGGAAAACAAGACGAAAGACAGAAGGCATTATTTATAGATTTCTATCAGTGGCGATTGAATACTAGGGAGGCTAAACCTCCACCGTAAATTTGTAAAATTATTGGTAATATGCATTTCTCAAACTTCATAAATGAACCCATTAAACAGCTTTAAATACCGTTAAAATGCCTGGTTTTAACGAGTATGTTGGCATTAATCAGGTGTTGAGCCCCCTCTCTAACGCTGATTCAATGCTGATTGGCAAGCAGCAAGGACGTTTTCCTGCTGAGTCCAGAGAAAAAAGGTAATTCAATCAAAACAGTCATCTTGTGCCGAACTCTTGCCGTGGTTTCTGGAGTTTATTATTTCAGAGCACTTCACAACAGCTACTTTCACTAGTTGTAGTAATGCATGTGTTTCAACATTTCTTAATGCAATAAGCACCACTGAGCCTCCACTTTTTCAGAGAGCAGCAGCTGGACATTATTTGTAAAGATGCAGCCAACAATCAGCTGGGGGAAAAGCACCATTCTCCAAGGCAGAGGCTCCCAAACTTGTAAACCTGGGTTTTTTTTAAACAAAAAATCTAAATCAATATTTCATTCAAATAAATTAAGATTTAGACATTTTTATTACTACTCTTTTCTGTTTAAACCGTCATCATGATGTGGGAATCTTTATTGGCAGCAGATATAGAGCAGGTGCTAATCATTTAGTGGAGGATAGAGGTAGCTAAGTCGATCAACAGTAGAAATGCTGAAGTGGATTTTCGTTATCAGGACAATGACCAAAACATACAGCAATGCTACAATGATGTGGAATAAATGAAAGTATATTCATGCATTGCAATGGCACCATGATGGAAATGGTTCCTTATACATGCCGAGCTGCTGGAGACATACAAGATTTTCAACTGTCTGCAAAAGACTGTCTGCAAAAACATAACTCCGGAGAGCTAAACTCAAGTTTATGCAACACCTTTTTATTTGTATTTATTAGATATTCATGTTTGGATTTTTCTTTCTACTGCAAAATTATGTTATATGTTGTGTTTGTCCATCAGATAAAAGGTCAATTAAAAAATACTGAGATGTTTGTGTTTATGTTGTGACAGAATCTGAAAATGTTCAAATGTTCTTAGTTATCCTAAATCAAATATGTCAGACATACCTGTTGGACAAATGGCTGAAAAGTCCAAGAAAATAATCTACAAACAGGTTTTAAACCAAAATACAAACTAAATCTCTGCTATTTTTGCTCCAAAACCTAAATCAAAAGCCCTATTGTAGACACCAGCTGGTGGATAAGTCACAGAAAAAAGCCTGTCTTGTTGTGTTAGACTGTTACTAATGTTGATCCAGTTCTTGCATCAGAGCTTGCTGACCTCCAGCATTGTGCGACACATTAAATGAGAGAAAGCCAATGAAGCCTGAAGGTGTAAAGCTATTTAAAGCCAAGATCAATTCCCCACCGGATGACGTTATGTGATAAAACTCTGTCATGCAGTTCTTTTTTTGTCTTTTCTCCTGCTGTGGTAAAAAAAAAAAAAGGTAATCCTTTTTTAATATTTTTATGTAAGAAAAACTGTGAACGATTGAGCTCCTGCCCAAGGCTTAGATTCCCTGCCCTGGATTTTAGAACTAGCAGAAAAGAAAATCTTAAAGATAAGCTTGATGTGGTTCACTGTAACTGCCAGTCGGACAATGTTGGCCCCAATCCGACGCACTGCTGCTGTGTCAGCATGTTCTTCATAAGCCTGAACAAATACTTAGTTTGCTGTGAGCAGCAGCCAGGGCAGCAAATAGAAACTTCTTTGGCTCTAAACTTAGCGGAAGCTTAGAGGTTTACAGCAGAAAGTTTTACCTTTTGTTTCTTTTTCTTTTTTTTCTTTTTTTTAGAAGGATTGTGTTAAAAATGGAATAAAAGAGCTACTTTGACTTGGTATATACAAACACTCTCAGATCAGCTTTCAAAACTGTATATCTAACCTGAAAAACTGAAGAAGACACCTGTCTAAAAAATGTTTATACCTGTATCTTGTGTGGAGTGTTGGCCTAGAGGTTAAAGCAGTGTGCTTGTGCTCTGAGAAGGTTGCTAGTACCTAGTTCGATCCCCACAGCCTGCACTATGGGCTCCCCAAAGGGATGGGTCAAATACAAAGAGTGAATTTCCCCATTTTTGGGACAATAAAGGGATTTAAATCTTCTCACCCTACAGGCCACATTTCTAACATAACCGTGCCAATAGATAGCTACCCTGCTATGAAAATGGTCAATAAATCCTTTAACCTTGCAAAGAACAAAGTACAGTAAATGCTATCAGTTTGTTCATTTTTCACCTTTTTCTCGACCTTCCTGCATTTCTTTGGTGTGGAGTGCTTTGGACAGTAATTTAATCTCCTTATTTTCCTATACAATACAATAAATCTCTACAGCATTTATAAACCCTTTTGTTAAAAACAAAAACAATAAAAGAAGATGCCTCAATGGAGATATTCTATGGCTGATGTATTATTTACCTGAGTGAATGCAACAAACTGTGGCAATTTGAAATGAAGATGTGTATTGTCAAATCTCTAGTACAGTAAAAAAAAAAAAAAACATTTATAGTGGCAATCTAAATACATCACTTCCTTGTAAAGTTAGAATGTTTGAAAAGTGTATGGTGCATACGTGTTTTTTTAATTTTACAGAATGCTTTGTGTATTTTTTTATTGAAATTCTGATGTCGAACACTTTTCTTCAAGTAGCTTAATGCTGTTTGCATGTCAAATGGAGTTTTAAGGTAGTGGCAACATCTATTGAGTTTATGGTGGGTTGTTCAAAATGCATTAGGACAAATATCGTACACTGAAAAGGGGGACTTTTTGGTCCTGTAAATATTAACTTGGTTTTTATGTTAAATCTACTGCATACAGCCATGTAAACGCCTTTACTTCAAAATGACATCTTTTATTCAACGTGTTACTTAGAAATAATTTGTAAATATATATCCATCAAAAGACAAGTACATTTAATTCATCTTACCAAATATTTATTTTAACATTTAAAAAGCAATTTAAATAGCTTCCCAACTTAACAGATGCAATAATAAGTTCTTGGACATTAGGATTAAACTGATTTTTTCCTTGTTTGACCAAGTTTATGTTGGAAATAGAAAATATTGTTCCTTGTCAGCTATAGGTGGCACAGTTTGTAGCACTGTTACAAATAATTTCTATGAGGGAAAAGTTACCTAGCTTTTTCTAAGTAAATTTTACTCCAATTTTTTTCAGTGCAAAATTTATTTAAATTTAAAGTCACCATACACTTGAAAGCGCGCCACCTGTGACCCTTTCTGCTTTCCGTAACCAGAGACTCTGTATTATCATAATACATCAACAGACACCTAAACTGTTTGCTTTAAGCTTCTATACATCACTAGCTATTTTTCTACTTTTTTGTCTCAGGGTTCTTAAAATCTAATTTTCATTCATTTTGTCTTTTTAACTTAAAAACTAAAATAGAATATACCAACTATCTTTCATATTTCCCTAAATAACAAAATGGCCATAAGTTCTCAGCCTCAGTTCCAGTGGGACACTGGTCAGCTTTACTCAGATTTCCTCTTGTTTCACTTCCTTATCTTTTCTAATAATCTATTATTTTGCAAATATAATTTTAATGTGTAGTGTATGGTGCTAAAAAGATGCTAGCCATAATCCAAAATCTAATAAATCAAAAATCAAAATAAAATAAAAGCTTTGAAAATGAAAAATGGAAGCGCTTCAAATAGATTACAATTATGTCAGCAATACTTAGTAGTTTTTGTAACACCTGTAATAAAGGGATCATTGTGAATGCAGTGCTGAAGGATACAAGCTTCAAGCAAATTTATTGGGATTTTATTTGAACGTTAGAGGTGAAAGAATAAAAAGTTTCCAAAATAGAGTATCTGTTTCCATTAATCTTGCCCAGAAAATCACCTTCCAGTGCATTTAAAGCGGCATGCCTTTTGAAGTATATCAATGCTAGCTTAGTGCAGCCAGAGGCTGACTGATGTTTTAAGCTCAGGCTAAGTCTGAATTGCATATGAACACTAACGATCCTGATTTGATCTAGATTCCACTGCAGCTCTGGTTGTGTGTTTAGAGTCATTGTTCAGCTGGAAGGAGAATCCTCACTGTGGTTTAACAACTTTTGCTGCCGCTTTACGTTTTCTGTTAGGATTGTTGTGTATTTATTTCAACCCATCTTTCCATCCACCCATGAAAGAATGATGGTCCCACTACCTTTTGTACTCTTGAGACATGTGTATAGGGTGTTAAGCACATGACATAATGAGGGGTGAGACATTAACAGCCGTCTATGAGCTGTGGGTCTCTACGTCAGATCTACGCCTGTTTCTTTGTCTCTAAATTTACAACAACATGGTCATCAATTATTCGCATCAATTTATTAAAATGGACAAAAGCAGAATTCCTAATCTTCTCTGATTTTTTTTTTTTGTTGAATATGGGGAAAAGGGAAAAGTTGCTTTGCTAACGTTAATAGCCACAACCAGGAAGAAATGGGATTTCCTGGAAAGTAGCCTATCACAGGAGACATAGGAGTACTTTTGCAAGGCTCTGTATTGTAAATGGCGAACTATAAACACTCTTTTTGTCAGAGTAAGTTCAATCTGTTCCTCAAATATTATTTAGTTTCTTATAAACTTTGCACGTGTACTACATTTATGCACTCAAGATACCCATCATTTAAAGTGCACTAGACCATTTTGCAGAGATTCATCCACTTCCCAGTGTTTCTACTCACCCTCTCTCCTGATATTCCTCAGGCAGTGCACTTTGGGAATCTGGGAGAGCAGCTGGCAGTCCTCAGCTGGAGGAGGAGAGCAGAGGAGATGGCATGTTACTTAAGAGGTAGAAAACAGAAAGAAAGTCTCAGTTTTTCTTCTTACTTCACCTTCTGTCAGTCACTCAAACCCTAAAACACACCACACAACTCTCAGCAGCATGGAATTAAAGCAATTTAAAGAGCCAGAAACACAGACCGCCAAAAATTCCTCCTAAAAATTAAACAGTAACACACAATCATGAGTGCTTTAACAAAAAAAAAATGTTTTTTTGTTTTTGTTTTTTTACTGGATTTATCTCATCATTCTATTTTGTCTTTAAATCAGAAAGCAGACAATTTCCTCCAACTTTCTCTGCACGACTAAAAGTTGCAGCAGAAGCTTTTGTCACTGCAGACGGTCAGCATTACCAACATGGGTGCTGACAATCACTAATGCCCTTTGAGGATTAGTATCAGCAGCAGAGAGTGAGTGTGATCTTCCTGAGGGATTGTGGGTAGACACCCCCCCACCCTCCTCAGAGAGATGCAGCCTTACGGTCGCCGACTGAAGCCTAACAAACTTTAATCCTCTTTGATTGAATAATAACGCCCCTACAAATACGCTTGTTTGTATTTACAGGACACAGTCACGTCACAGGGGATGTGGGTGTGTATGAGAGGAAGTGTGGGACAGTGTGTGTTTGTAAACATGTCAATATGGGGGACTAATCACTCAGAGCAGAGAGGAATCCCATGGGTTAGACTCTTTGAGCAGATGTACTTCAATCAGATTAAGTGTTCATGATTGCATGGATTTTTTTAAAGCTTGTGTGTATTTTTTATTATGTAACCATTTTATAGGAAAATGAGTGAACAGGTGTTTTACTCCTATTATACTCTCATTATGTTTGTAATCATTTACTGAAGATTATTTGTAGAATCGCTAACAGAAGGTTGTGCATTTTAGTGAAGTGTAAGGTTTTCAGAAGTTTTTTGAAATATAAATCTAGATCTAAAAATCATCCTTAACTTATATACCTGAAGGAGGCCGTAGGAGGGCAACAACCCGGCAGCAGGACCACTATCTCCACCTCTGTGCAAAGAGGAAAAGGAGGAGCACTACCAGAGCCCAGAAGAATGGCACAAATGTGCATGCATCTTAACAAACAGTTAGAAAATGACTCCATGAGGATGGTATGAGGGCCCTATGTCAACAAGTGGGGGTTGTGCTCACAGCTTAACACCATGCAGGAGGCTTGCATTTTTTTGAAAGGCCACAACCCTCCATGTGCTCCATGAAGTAGCATGACAGTCATTAGGTACCGAAGATGAGATCCTTGTGAGGCCATATGCTGGTTCGGTTGGCCCTGGATTCCTCCTAATGCAGAACAATGCTAGACCTCAGGTGGCTGGAGTGTGTCAGCGGTTCCTGCAAGGTGAAGGCATTGAAGCTATTGACTGGCCCGCCCATTCCCTAGACCTGAATCTGACTCAGCACATCAGGGACAATATTACCCCATTTACACGTGCCGTGCTGAGTTTGGTCCGAGCTTGGATGAGTTAACCGTGCCGAGCTTGGTTCCTAACGGCCATTTACACACCAAGCTAGCACGGTTCATTGCCTCGTAGTGACGAGCTACAGTACTACTGCTCTCTAGAGGTAAACAAGCAAACCAACATGGCAGCATACATAACCTTCAGAAAGTTATGTTTTCTTATCATTGTGATATTTCGTTGTTTGAGGAGAGTCATGCGTAGAAGGCAGCCTCTAGTGAATTTACTTGACAGAGTCAGATTTTGGGAAGTGGATACAACAAACAATAGTCTAATCAGGGTTTACAAACGCAGGAAAAAACGACGGATGTTGAGGTGGCAAGGAATGGAAACTAGTATTTTTATGAATGTCTGAAATCTAATTATTACGGATGCTGACTGTAGGGAGATGACATTGTCTGATGATGCTCTCTGGTATCTGAGGACTGAGCCAGAACTGAGTTGCGCCAAGCCCTACTCATGAAATAGTAACTCGTCAGCACGGTTTGGTTGTTTCTGGCACGGCCAGGGTTAAGTGTGTGGGCACTTTAGATTCAACAGTTATCTCAGTTACTGTGCTCGGACTAATCTCGGAATGGTTTTGAAAGGGTAGTGTATATGGGGCTAATGTCTCCATCCTTCCACCAACATCATATTGCACCACAGACTATTCCAGGAGTTGATAGATACTTTCGCCCAGGTCTGGGAAGAGATGTCTCAGGAGACCATCTGCCACCTCATCTGGAGAAAGCCCAGGCATTGTAGGGAGGTCAAACAGGCACATGGAGGCCACACACAATACTGAGACTCATTCTGACCAGTTTAAGGATCATTACATCAAAGTCGGATCAGCCTGTAGATGGTAAATACTTCAAGTCAGGGAAGTGACCAAAGCTCTTGAGTGTAGTGTTTTTCCACTTTGATTTTGTGCGACTCCAAATCCAGGCCTCCTACATGATTTTTGACTGATTTTATTGTCAGCACATTGAACTTTGTACAGAACAAAGTATATAATGAGAATGTTTCATTCATTCAGATCTAGAATGTGTTATTTGAGTGTTACCTTTATTTTTTTTTAACAATGTATAATATCCAAGCCAGAAGTATAGGCTGGCTATAATATAAGTCAAAAATGAGTATTTATACTTCAACATACTTTCAAGTTCTCATTACCCGTGTTTCTAACCAACTGAAATACAAATTTTAAGCAAGATTTTCAAATGTGTATTGCAGTGTTTTCATTTAGTTTGAAGTGAATTAACCAAGCCTGGCAGAAAGGTAAGGGGGTGTGAGTTCAAATGGAGCCAAGCTCTTCTTCTATTGTTTACATGAACATTTCAATTAAACAAATACTCTCTAAATTTAGGTACAATTTGATCTAATAGAAATATGTCAGCTTTTGAAGTAGAAAAAGTAAAATTATTTTTTTTGTCTTTAATGTGATCATTGATCTCACAACAGAGAAATTCACTTCTGCATTTAAACCCATCCCCTTGGGGAGCAGTGAGCTGCCCTGTCCGGCGCCTGGGAAGCAGTGTGGGATTAAGGATCTTTGCTCAGGGACCCACAGCAGTAGTCTGTGGGGATCGAACCGGTTACTTGCACCCTTCTCAGAATCCAAGCGAACAGCTCTAACCACTAGGCCACCACTCCCCTATGTAAAATTCTTGATCTTAAGAAAGTCTCAGTAAATAAAGTACTTAAATACTGTAACATAGAAAATGTACCTAGTTATCCTACAGCTCTGCCATATTATTTTACCTCAAATAAGCTGCTTCTCATTTGCACAAAATCATTGTTTGTTGAGGAAAACTGCAGCTCTTATAATGTTGACCTAAATATCCTGGATATTTTGCAATGTTTTTTATTGTTGTTTATTTTTTTATAATTTTATTGTTGTAAATGTATCTTAAGGTTGCTTTGTAATTCACAATAACATTATAAATATTATGTAATCTTTGATCTTTGTGCATCTAATTTGAAATTGGAAACACACGATAAAGATCAGTGTCCTTGACTGAGGACAAAGTGCATATAGTTAAAGGGAACCTTAATGGGATTTCACTCAGCCAGTCTTTAATGCTATTGCTGACCGACATGCTTTTCCACCTTCTTCCTCTGTCTGTCAGGTCCAATCTATTGACCAACATGCTCATACTCTCACTGCATTTCAGACTATGGTGCAGCTGATTAAACCCTGCAGAAACTAGAATGGTATAAATCATACTGTATAAAGGCCTAATGCAGTAGTTTAGATTTTGAGGGTAATTGATAAAGAAATATGTGAAATGATTAAGTGCAATATTGAATTCTTTTAAGGAATACCTTAGCTTTCAATTAGATAGATATTTGTTTTTTTTTTAAATAGAGGGTAAAAAGAATATGTTGAATGCCATCTCAACTGCAATGATGGTGGACATTTATATTCTCATTTCAGAGTTTGAGTTACAGCAGATTAAAATGGTTAACAAAGTCTTGGTCATTTATATGTGTCGAATCAATTACAGTCTCCATGGTTCTGCTGAGTTTTGTTTATGACCATCAATTGAGAAGGGACAGGATCTAAATGCAAAACAAACTTTGTCGCTTTTTTTTCTTAAAATAATTTTGAAACCCTAAATACATTTGTTCTCATATTTCCCAATAGTGCTACTATGTATCCATCAAAGACAATAAATCCCCAAAATACATTAAAGGTAAATAGTTATCTTGTATGCCTTTACCAAAAAGACCAAAATCCAGTTGATTACGATAAAATAAGGATATAAAATTCTGTTTTAAAATGACCTGACATAAAGAGATGTGGCACAATCTACTAATAGAAAGCCAGATGGTGGCCATTGATGCAGCTACTAAATAAGTCCCAAACAAGCTGACTGCAATAATAACTCACAGACAACAGACAGCTTGGAGGATAGGGCTTAAAAGCAGGGACAACAACAGTAGCACTTTAAGCAAAAACATGTCAAGTTATCAAATTTACAGCAACATCAGAACGCTTCCTGAGCTTTAGCTCCAGATTTAATGTACTCCAGAAGTCAGACTGCTTTCCCAGTGCAACTTGAGTTTTATCTAAATTGGAATCAAAGACTCTTTTTGTGCCTTTTCACACATAATCTCTCTTTTATTCTTCCAACTATGCTGGATGTTCCACGCTAGCTCGCCTCCATTGCTTTGGCTTGCTTCAACCAGTTTATTTATATAGGGCCAATTCACAACACATCTGAATCATCTCAAGGCACTTTACAATTCATCAGATCATACAGTCAAATTGATTCAAAGTTTTCTCTCTAAGGAAAACCAGCTGATTGCATCGACTCATGACTGAAAGTCAATCCCTCACACTAAGCATACTTGTAGTGACAGTGGAGAGGAAAAACTCCCTTTTAACAGAAAAAAAAATCCAGCAGAACCATTTCCTTTTGTGATCTGTGAAAAGCAATTTAAATTGATAGCAAATCCTGAAAATCTATCTGAAAAATGGACATTTTAAAAAAATTATTTGGAAACTC